TTTTTTTTTTTTTTTTTTTTTTTTTTTTTTTTTTGTTCTTCCCAGGAAACGAAAAGTCATTGCATCGAGAAATTTTAATTGTCTCAAATTTCATTTTCACTTTATGTAACTATTTGCATTTCATCGGTCATAGTTCTATTTTAGCTTCTCATGACTCACACTGCTTCAGCCAAACACACCATGACACTCAATTAAAAGTTGAACATAGTTGAAGTATACTTTCATATAGAGCTTATATTCCTGACTTCGCCACACACGTGAATACTAATGACAGATATTGTAAATATTAAGAAATATTGTGAATAGAAATAGATACGTAATTTTATCGTATCCCTTTTTTTTCTTATCATAGTTTGATAAACTCTCAGCATTATAAGCTCTATGATTTGTATATATATATATATAATGTATACATATGTGTATATACATATATGTCCATATATATACATATATATACATATTATATATATATATATATATCTCCTGTCATTTGTGTGCAGTATGATAATCTGTTGTCCTGTTATATATCTGAGTCTAAACAATTCTGAGTACTCCTATGATTCTTACAAATAAAATTAGTAGATATATTGGCTTCATTTCCATTCTAAGAGTATACATATACTATGCGCTATTAACACTGGCCTTTGTAGTAGTTTAAATGGAGGTAGGCCATTAAGGATTTTTACATTAACACATATGGTCTCCACAGATCGATTTGTAAATGTAAAGCCACAAAAAAAAAAAAAAAGAAAAATGAGGAGTCATATGAATGTTAAACTTACAAGATTTTAAAACAAATTATATATATCACATTATCATTATTTTTTTATATGAAACTGTAAAACCGAATTTTTTCAATATACTATCGTAGTTGGAGCATGAATGGCGTAATGGGCATGTTCGCATGAATGTAATTTACCTCGTTTAGATTAAAAAAGGAAAAAAAAAAAAAAATGAGGAAAGAAAATTCTGCCGCATTTTTCTTTCGAAATTTTCTCATCCTCGAGCTTATTTCCGTGATGAGATGCTAAAAGACAACTATATCGTAGAAGCCGCATTTTTCCTATTGACCAAAGAGACAACAATTTTACTGAAACAAGTAACATAGCATCTGCGTGATGAAGTGTCTTTCAAACATCATCATTCCGAATGGAACAATTATAATACACGAATTAATATTCACGAGCACATGACACAAATGCTTGTAATTATAATGTTGTGTTTTTCAGGTATTTTTTAACATACCTATTTCAGGATTCAAATGATAAACATTAACCATTGAAAATAAAATTATTTTTTAATATTTTTCTAGTAACGAATTATCTTTACGTCATATTTCCAGGATGCTGACGACAAAAACTTCAGTAAATCTAAAAAAAACATCTAAACAAATTCTTGATTAAACTACAGGAAACACGTTCTTATAATAAATTTTCTATAAACTGATTATGAAAACATACTCAAGCATGTAATAATACGTATCAACGTATCGAACTCACGTATCTAACTACTCAGCAAAATAATAACATTCGCCACCATAAAAAGAAAGAATATGGTAATAAAACTGAAACTTCAATAACGAGGTTGCTTCATTTTAACATAAATTGGGAACTACTTAGAAAACGATTCAATGCCTGAATACAAACGATTCGAAGGGAAATTGTTAAAAAAAAAAAAAAAAGAAAGACAGCTCGGTATATCTTTCAACAGTTTCTCTCTACAAAGAGTCGTAGAAGCTTGCTGTTTGTCGTCTATCTAAATTGAAACGGTTTGGTAGATGAATGCCAAGAGTAGTGTAACAAGTATTGCAAACGTGAATGAAAAAGAAAATGTACATCTGATTAATGTTGGTGAACAGTTGTGTTTGCAGCTGGATCAGAGCGATCTTCCGGCGCACCCGCTCAACCGGAGAGACCACCGCCCCCGCTTCCCCCGCCACGCTTTCCGAACAGCGGTGTCTGACAATGGGAAACAGCTCCTCTTAATATTGGTAATCTAGTGATCATGAACACGTCAATCCCACTGCCGCTACTGTTCACCACCAACAGCCTCACATTGGAGAATCAGCTATACGAGATCATCACGGAGAGGAGCAAGGCCTGCGCGGCTTTCTTGCGGAATAGTTTACGTCGAGCAGTGAACGCGACCACTATCGGCTGGAGTGTCACGGAGAATTTCGAGAGTAACGTATCGTGCAATCATGCTTGATCCGACGGACGAAGAGACTGAAAACGAAGATCACCTGTTGATTGTATCCCCGGTATCGAATAGGACGCGAAGTCGATCGCGAATGCTTTAGCGCGGAATTTAAACGAACCGGCTTAGTTCGGGCGTCGTCCGGTTGGCACATGAAATAACCTTCATACGAATGAATATAGAGGATCGAAATGCGAAACCGTTTCGCAGAACTTGCTAGTTACAATTTACTGAATCGAACGATAGTAAGTGCAAATGGGTGATCGAAGCGTTGAAAGGACTCGCCGATGATTCGAGGATTTTTTCGATACGATTTTAGGTAGGTGAATCTACGCAGCGTTCGATATGACAGGCGAGAGTCTTTCCCGAAATGTGAAACGAGGACGAGGTAACAAAGACTCTCGAAAAAGAATCCAACAAAATGTTGGAAAAGTGATTGTGCCTAGACATACGTTTGAAAGATAGAATGAAAAAAAGAGAGAAAAAGAAAAACGCGTAAGAAGCTGGATCGTGATCACTAAAAATAGAATGCATTTGAACTTCGTGCGACATCGAAGAGTATAGAACATATAATTGCTAGATGCGACGAATCGTTTAACGAAACCCCAGAAGGAAAGAAGCTGTATTTATATATATATATACATATATATACTATATATGTACATATATATACTATATATGTACATATATATACTATATATATACATATATATAATATATATACATATATATTATATATATATACATTATTTATATATTTATATATATAAATAATATATATAAATATATATTTATATATATAAATAATATATATAAATATATATTTATATATATATAATATTATTATATAATTTATATATAAATAATATATATATAATTATATATAAATATATATATAATATATATATAAATACTTCACTTTTATATTGTTAATTTCATAGGATTTATTGAAATTATATGTCATTTTGTATCACTGTCGTCTTTATAAGTCGTTGCACTGTATGATTATGCGGTTATGTGTTTGTTGATAAATTGAATTCGATAAATTTTACGGCTGAGGTTAGGAACAAATTTCGGATCTGGAATCGACCAAATTATTATTTAGTCAGTATTGAATTGAAATAAACCGGACTCGGTTTATCGCGTTAACAGTCGCAGTGTTTTAAAACAAACGTTAACTAAGATAAACGTCGTTCTTATACGGTGCCTCATAAAAAAAACAACATTTACAAGTCGATCAATCATTTTATCTTATAAAATTACGAGGACGATACAAACGAACGGGTGTTGTGGTACATTGCGATAGTAAGCTTTGAATTACGCGCATGCGCTACCTTATTTCGATAACCAATTGTTTTAAAATAACTAAATAGATAACACCGACACAAATTTTTTACGAGACAAAGATTAATGTTAATATAACGAAACGAAAATTAAATTCAAAACAGGCTTTGACTAACAAATTTTAAATCATTAATTAAATCATTAGTGAAATATCAAACCTTTTCGTTTGAACAGAGAAAAAAAATTCTACAAGATCTCGTATATTTAGAGGCATGCCTTTTCTTACTACCTTTTATGTCGTTAATGTTTTACAGCACGTCACGTTTGATATTATGCAAACTCTTTGGGAAAAGAAACTTCCCCTGTGTATATACATGTATATACTGTATACTTCTATGGTACTTACCATAATGTCGTTGCATAAAAAGATGTATGATAATCCTATACTATTCAATATAGTATATTCAACTCCCTATTCAAAATAGTGTTACACGAAAATTAATTATATCGTTCGAGCGATATATATATATGTATTCAAAGTCGATTGACGCGAACACTTCAACCGATCGTTTTAATCGAACTGAGATAAACATTGACCGGATGCACTATATTATACTGTTTCAAGCGCCACCTCTTTGTTGTAGAACAAACAACTTTTAAAATTTTACTTTTTCAAAGATTTCATTGGTTCCTATTAACTGAATCTTAACCAATGACATAAAATGGCATGGTTTTTAATTACAGAAAAATCAAAGTGTTACTTTAAATTACTTTTTGTTTATCTTCGTATACTTGTACTTAATACGAATTGGAATCTATAAATATGATAGATTATGTTCCTTCTTTAATTCTTACACAGAAATTAGGTTCAGCAATAAAAAAATAAGCACCAAAGAATACACTGACACCATTGGTAAAATCCTCTTTCGCGTTAGCTTATACACAAATTAAATAATCTCCAATCTGTTTGCTATTTAAATGTCGCGGTATACTCGCGATATGGTACCTAGAATAGAATGAAAAATGAATAAATAAATAAATAACATCGTCAGCAGTAAATTGTATGTTATAATTTAATGAAAAAAAAAAAAAAAAAAAAAAAATAAGAGAAAAACTTTTAATTATAAGCTGTCCAAATCATACAGAATCAGTGAGAAAGGCAATAAAGCTATTGAACTGAAAATATGCTAAAGTAGATTTCCTTGCATTAGAGTATTGTCAGAATTCCAACTATTGATTATGAATACTTAGGCTAGGGATATACATACATATATACATAGCTACTAGTTTATAGTAGCACATTGTAACGGGCTAATGATAACGATCGCTAACTTCGTTAATACGTCGTACATGTATGTTGAACAGAAATGAATTGTACGTTTCCCACTCGTGTTATGGCTGTACAATAATCGCGAACCGAGTGCTGGTAGCATATCCATTTTTTAAAATCACTACAAGCTTAAACACGATAACTATACATAACCGTAGTTGCAACTACTTCGACTCAAACTTACTAGGCATCTGAACGATGAGGTCGATGAGTCGAATTCGAAAGGAAACTCTGTATCATGTTAGAAAGATTATTTTAAGATATACGAGAAGATTTTACTTTACACGTTCTTGAAATTTGTCAAGCTATTTGTAAATTAGCGAGAGAAATTGCCCGAAATCATTAGACGTGGAATCAAGTTTGACTGTGCTTATAAAATGTCAACTTCTTATGATTTTCTTTGTCGTCTTATTGAGAAAAGGCATGCTGTGATATATGTTCACTGAACATTTCGAAGCAAACACAAAATTATCTAAAAAGGAACAAAAGAAGATAATCTATGAACGATTTTTCTACTTTCGTCACAATGAAAATTACAATTAATGTCATTAGATAATTATAACAATGAAATGCAGTTATGCCACATGTATACATATGAATTCCGTAAAACTCGAGACATTTCTCGTTTTTGAAGGTCTAAAGTAATTTGTAGGTGTTCAAAGTGTTTCCAAAGAAAAGGAAAAAAAACACTTCCTCGTATCAGAAAATTAATTTCACTATCATTCATTCACACGTAAAGATATGATAAATAACTCGTTTCTAAAACTGTATAATAATATAATAATAATAATATACATATAAATATATATATATATCTGTGTGTGTGTGTATATATATAAATATAAATATATATATAATATGTATATATATATACATAATGTGTGTATATATATATACATATATATACACACATATATATGAACGACACTTTTATGCGAAGACCTATTCCGCACCCATCACGACTTTGATAACAAAATCAATTATGATTGCATATATAGTTTCGAGTCAATGATATGATATTAAATTCATTGAGTATTGCAACGTTTATAGAGCCTTAAAGAAAGATTAAAAAAGAAAATTGGAACAGTCCAGCAAAGTGATCAGAATAACGATTTGTAAAATAAGTTCACTGCCACTTAAACGACTTGCGCTCCACGAGGAGCGCCAATATTCCAAATGTGAATGTGTACAGTTATGTGAAAAGTACTTATAACGTAATTATATTTACATAATATTAATTAGAATTATGTAAAACTAAATAGCATGTAATAATATTAAGAATGATATACGTAGGATACAGATAAAAGAAAAAAACCATCGATTGCAAAGCTATTACATTCCAGACAAGAAAAAATTTATGCCTGCTCATTTGTATATTATAAGTAAACCTTAACACGAAAAAGTTTCTCTGGTAGAAATTCTATTTATTGATACGATTCTTTTTTCTAGCATTTGTTTCATAAATAAAAATTGTATTCTGTTTCGTTTTAATTGGAATTTTGTCACGGATATTTAACAAAAAAAAAAATTTATATTTCATTTAATTTTTACAAAATGTAAATTTTTTTTGGTAGATCACAAACAATATTTGATTTTTTACATTGTTAAATTAAAACTTTAATTTTATATTTATTTTATAATATAGATATTTTTTAAGGAGAAACCGCTTCATATTTTCTATAAATACATTTTAATTATTTTCAATTCATGCAATATTGTTTTAAGTTTGTGTTATTGTATACAAACCTATAATATTGCAAACATGGTTTTATTTGCAACTGTATATATGCGTAGCAATTGTCTATAATATTTTAATTACTTATGATTAATGTATTTAAACTGAACAGATAAATTTAAGTGAAAAAATCATATACAACATCTTTTAAAATCTACAAATAAAAATATTTATTAAGTAATATCAGTGTTTTTAATTATTTAGATAGGGAAAGATGTAGACAAATGGCAGAGATTCTTCAATGCAATTAAATATATTTTAGAAAAGATTATTATTATTTGTACAATTGTGAAATTTTACTATGAATACTTATGGTTTACATTCCTGATGATAGGATTCCAAAGTTCGAAAATCTCTCCATGTTGGTGGTAAAGCACTATGTAAATGTAAACCACAACGCTTGCATGGATCACTAAATAAGTTATTTAAACTATGAAACCAAGTCTACAAAAATAACAATGTAAATTTAATACAATTTAAATTTCATTATTCAAATCCTATTATTCTCCTTACTTCTTACCATAAATGATCTAACAGCTAATTCAGGTAATGTAGGAGAATAAAAATGTAACATTGCAGCATGAGCATTTTCTGTTACTTTTCTGAAAACTTTATGTCTAGATTCTGTCCATAAATCCATAGTTTCTCCATAACCTTTAACTACTACCCATTCAATCATTAAACCTTTAAATGCTATGACTCCTTTCAAAACATGTCCTAGTGTAACATGTAATACTGCATTTGACGCAAATGGTCGAGATACAGATACTGTCATATCATTAAAAAGTCTATCAAACGTGCCTATTAACGTATCAACTTGTCTATAAAGGAAACAGAATACATATTAATCTTAACAATTATTAATCAATAAGCTTAACTATGCTACTTATGACTATATCATTAAAACAATTTAACTTACTGTTGAGGAACATTATGAGTACTTGTTTGAATTCTACCTCTTTTTGCTCTGCTAGTGGTATTATAAGATCTTTTCAAAGAATTCTGACTAAGTAACGCTTGAGCAACATTGCTGTATTCATGAACTTTATCTGTCCATTTGTAACTATTAACTAATGTACTATACAGTGCTTGTCTTTCCTGTGTAGTTTCTTGGCTAAGATATGTCGTGCTTGCTAAATTAAATGGTCCTGGTGGTGGATTCAAACTGCTTACAGCTTGTTCAACATCTCTAGATACAAAAAACTGTTTAATATGATATAGATACATAGTAAATACATCATTAAAAACTAAATACCTTAGATTGACATTGACTGTTGTTAAAAGTTCTTGCAATTCAAGTAGATATTTATTTTCTTTATTTTCTTCCCCATGATCAGCACGCAATCCATTTCCTAAGGAATCAAAAACTTGGCCAACACTTGAGCGCAATACCTTAATTGCTGTCAATGCAGTCTGCAGTTGTTCCATTTTTGTTATTAATATACGAAGTCATATGTAAACAGTAGGGCAGCTTTTTATGTTTTTTCAATATATATCTATATAAAAAATGGATAAAATTGTAAAAATCACAGAATTTCTCCCTGTTATTAAATTATCTTCTACTAACAACAATAACAACAAAATTATAGGAAAACTAATCTTTCAAAACATTTTACCACGAACAAAATATGTCATAGATGTACTGTTCAATGAATCTATTATTTCAAGTTTTATCGATTTAGCATATAATAAGACAGAATAGATCTAAAATAAGAAGAAAGTTTAGTATTTAATTTTGAGAACACAATTATTAAGAAATTGACAAATTAATCCGCTTAATTAATTTTTTTTACAAATAAGAATTTATCTATGTGCGCTGATACATAGATGGTGCACATAGATGACAATATTTTCTAAACAAAGATAACTATAATGTGTAACAAAGGATAGTAATAGCAATTAGTTCCATCATTTCACCGCCACGTGGTGGTAGTGTTTTATTGACATTATTTTGATAATTACATATCAGAATTCGATGTCATTTCTTCTAATTTTTGAAAACTACTTTGTGAAATTTTTCTATGCGATTCTACTTTGAGTAAGCTAGTTTTATTTTTTGAAAATAAATACAAATATAAGTATATAACACATATACTACGTGAAAGATACTTGTGTCGACACGCATGCGCTAATAGTGATAACTATGACATCAAATGGAGTTTTAACACCGGAACAATACGGAATCAGCTGTCACTTGCTTCAAAAATTTTAATGTGTCGTTTTGTAATTTAAAACGTGACATTAAAAAATGATGTCCGAAAGAGATTATGCGCCACTTAGTGCTGCTTGTGTACGTTCTCTTAATGACAAACTTTATGAGAAACGAAAAGCAGCTGCTTTAGAAGTAGAAAAGTAAGGTTATCTTGTTTATTGTGCATTGTGTTATTATCCCATTTTTACTTATTTACAATGTTATTCATTTTTGACACTTATTATTTATTATTATATTTTATTCCAGAATGGTGAAGGAATTTGCTGCACATAACAATACTGTTCAAATCAAACGATTATTAAAAGTATTGGGTCAGGATCTTGCTACGTCACAAAATCCACACACCCGAAAAGGTGGTTTAATAGGCCTTGCAGCAATAGCAGTAGGATTGGGAAAAGATACTGGCCAATATATAGAGGATTTAATACATCCTATTTTAGCTTGTTTTTGTGATTCTGATTTACGTGTAAGATATTATGCTTGTGAAAGTTTATACAATGTAGTAAAAGTGGCAAGAGGTGCTGTATTGCCACAGTTTACAGATATTTTTGCAGCTCTTAGCAAATTAGCATGTGATTCAGAACAAAATGTGAAAAATGCTACTGAGCTGCTTGATAGATTAATGAAGGTAATTCAAAATTGTAAAATATAGGATTTATATGATATGAAGTTACTTATCTTAAGCATTATTTCAGGATATTGTAACAGAAAGTGGTCTGTTTGATTTAGTTGGATTCATGCCTTTATTACGAGAACGTATTTATACAAAAAATCCGTTTGGTAGACAATTTGTGATAGCATGGGTATCTGTGTTAGATGCTGTACCCAATATGGATTTTATCATATTTCTACCTGAAATTCTTGATGGTTTATTTAGAATATTAGAGGATACAATACCAGAAATTAAAAAAGTTACAGATACAGTTCTCTGTGAATTTTTAAGAAGTATAAAGGCTAATCCTGGAAGAGTAGATTTTCCAGGAATGATAAATATCTTAATTACACATGCTCAAAGTACAGATGAATTATTACAATTAACAGCAATTACATGGATTAAGGAATTTGTACAATTATCAGGTCCTCTTATGCTTCCTTATATGTCTGGTATTCTTGTAGCAGTATTGCCCTGTTTAGCATATGATGGAGATACTAGAAAAAATATTAAAGAAACTGCAACACAAGTAAATATGAATTTAATGAAATTAATAACTATGGAAAATAAAGAAATTGTACATAATACTGATGAAATTGGTGCTCAAAGTGAGAAAGGTAAAATTTTTAAAATCTTTTAAAATATTCTAATATACTTGAAAAATAGTAGAACAACAAAAAGAATTAATTTTTTTTCAGATTCTAGTCAAACTTGTTCCTTAGCTGAAAGTTTAGATTTATCTAGCGTTGTTGAGGTATTAACAAAGCACTTAATGTATATGTCAGTCCAAACAAAAGTTGCTGTTTTAAAGTGGATTCATCATTTATTCATAAATATTCCACATAAAATGTTTAATCATATTGAAAATTTGTTTCCAATTTTAATGAAGTCTTTAAGTGATAATTCAGATGAAGTGGTGCAGCAAACATTAGTTGTAATGGCTGAAATAATTAGTTCAAAATCGCCTGAAGCAGCTATTACAAACTCAAATGCAGAAAAGCAAAACAAATATTTTACAAAATTTATTGTAAATTTATTAAGAATATTTTCAACAGACAGACATTTATTAGAAGAAAGAGGGGCTTTTATTATTAGAGAATTATGTGTATTATTAAGTGCTGAAGATATTTATAAAACATTAGCAAAAATATTGATGGAGGAACCAAATTTAAGTTTTGCATGTACAATGATTCAAACTTTAAATGTTATACTATTGACAAGTTCAGAATTATTTGATTTGCGCAATAAACTTAAAGATTTAGATTCTTTAGTAAGTATTTTTTATACTATATGTATTCATATATTAATGTCTTAATTATTATTTTAAATTACGTGTATTGCTATAGGAAAGTTGCGAATTGTTTAAATGTTTATATATATCATGGTGTCATAATCCTGTTGCAACTGTAGCTCTATGTCTTTTATCGCAACATTATGAACATGCGTGCAATATTATTCGATCATTGTATCCTTTATTATTGTGTATTATATCATCTTTCAATATTAATTTTTTATAATTTAATATTTCTTAACTTAAAACAAATATAGTGAAAATATAGAGGTAACTGTGGAATTTCTCACTGAAATAGATAAATTGGTACAATTGATCGAATCTCCAATATTTACGTGTAAGTACACTGAATTATTACGATACTTAAATCATATTTACAAAAAATATAATGCATTTTAGATTTGAGACTACAACTTCTTGAGAGAGAAGAAAATGATGCTTTAATATATGCACTTTATGGTCTACTCATGATTCTTCCTCAAAGTGAAGCATATGCAACTCTACAAAGACGTTTAGCAGCTATTCCACCAACAACAAAATCTATACCTAAAACAGTATCGAATCCAAAACCGTTTAAAGATACATTTGATTTTTCTGAGTTATTAAAACATTTTCACATTATTCAAGAACGACATAAAGAACAAAAACATAAACAACGATTGACAAATTTAACAGAAAAGAATGCAAATCATGCAGATATATAAATAACATTTTTATATTAAATTTTATATAATTACAAATAGTAATTTATATAAAAGTAAACTGGATACTGATACATTATACTTTTAAACTTTTTTACCAAATGACTGTACTTATCAAAAGAAACCTACGCATTTATATTTTTTTTTTATTACAAAATTAAATATTAAATATTATAAGATTTATTATTATAATAAATTATTTTTTAATAGTATTTAATATATACAGCTAATTTTACAATTCATATTTATTGATTTCGTATATACAAATACATCGAACCGGAAAATAAATGTATCACTATTCACAGTATATCGGAATTCATAATATGTATCTTCTTTGAAAAAAAGGAAAAAAAAAGAAAAAATGTACTTTTCATACGTCGAATTTTTTTTTGCATATATCTTTTTATTTGATCAAAATCAATAAAACTGTGATTTTAATCAAAAACATTATTAAAATGTAGTCCATAAAAGAAATTTTATATTCTTCCTTTCTTATATTTATTATATACACGTATACTATCAGTCTTTTTCTTATCAAAAAGATAAAAATTAAGAATCATCTATATTCTCTAGAGTGTCAAGTATTGATAAATGATCAAGTTGATCTATAAGTAAATCATTCGTATGAAGAATCATTGCAATTCGTTCTTGCATGACGCAAATGTTCTTCCATTTTTTTGTACTTTCTTGGGCAGGTAAATTAGTTTTTTCAATAGATTTTAGTTTTTCAGGAAATCTGTCTATTAAATGTAAGAAATGTTCGTAACGTTCCTTACTTTCGTGGGACAAACGATAAGAATATGTTTCTAATATGTGTTCATAATTATCTACATCTTTGTCTAAAATTTGAATTTGTAGAAAAACAGTTTGTGCCATTTTATACCAATCGGCAACACATTCAGATCGGCTTATCATAGAAGGTATACAAAATGTTTCAAGAAGATTTTTTAGTCTTTGACCCGTTGATGTAACCTGAGTAAAAAGTAGAAAAAGATTAAAAATAAATATTGTTTTATAATGTATTACTTTTCTATTTGCATGATATAAAGATATTTATATTGAAAAGTGTACCTTTATTCGTTCTAAAACATGAAATTGTTCATCGTTGTATGTTAGACCACGAGTAGCTCTGTCCCTTAATAAATGTTGCCATCCATCTCGTAAACGGTCAACTAAAGTTGCTGCCTTTTGGCTTGCTTTATTGATCCACGGGCACCATAATCCACGAATGATATTGTCCCATTCACCACGCAGAGTACCTTCTTTCACGTACCTACGAAAAAATATAAATATTTTTAGGATAAATTGTTCTTATTAAACAAACGAAAAGAAAATATTAACAAAAATTAATCACCTCCGATGAAGCTGCACCACTGCAGGTGCTAATTCAGCCAAAAGCTTTTTACTTTTTAAATCTAATTCTTTTTTCCAATTCTTTATTTCCAAAGTATTTTGATTTCCAAATTTTCTAGAAACTTGCCAAGCAAGATTTTCACTTCTTTCTATTGCTACAGCTGTATCTTCTATAGCTTTTGTGAACTCTTTGGAATGTTGACATTTTTCTAATAATCTTGTAAGCTCTGTAGAGATAAGTCCACTAAAAGCTTCAATCGCATCCTGTGACAATTTGCTACATAATGCTAATTTGTCAATTCTTCGTTTGCAAACATAGCCAACAGAACAAGCTACTTTTGCTTGACTAGCATCATTTTCAACAGACACTAAGTTTGCAAATACTGGAAATTTAGGTAATTCTGAATCCACAGGCAAGTCAACATTATTATTTTCTTTAGAAAATAACATTAATGGTTTGCTTTCAGATGTATTTGGATAACCTTGTCCAGGAGTAGATTCTTCAATAATGTTTGTTAAAAATGTGTCTCCAAAAAGAATTATCTGAGCATGAGGTGCAATGTCAGTTTGATCTTGTATATGTATTTGAAGTGCTGTCAATTTTTCGTCAGGATGTAAGAAAACTTTTATAAGATTGCCTTTGTGTATGTTAAATATATGTATACGTTTTCTGCAAAGAGTATCAGTTACTTCTGCAAAAAATCGTTCAAAACTCCATATTTTTGGAGGATCAACTTCTAATAAACCAGCTAATAATGGAGTTACAATCTTTTTTAAACCAATACTTAGTTGACAATTTTGTGGCAATTCCCTATTCCATTCAATAGGTCCACTTTCAGAGGTTTGCACACCTGATATAACGCCAGATGCTTTTTTTGTAATAATATAAAACATTGTTTCTTTATTCCTTCGACCACCAAATGGTCTAAATGGTAGATTTCCTGTAGCCACATGGTACAATGTCACGCCTATAGACCATAAGTCTACAGTTGCTCCAAATGTTTTGCCAACAGGTTTACGTAAAACTGCACGTTCATATATATCTGGATGTAAATATTCTTCTGTACCATATAAAGATACAAACTGTTGGTCTTCTTGTAGTTCTCTGGCAGCACCAAAATCAGTAAGTTTATAAATTGTACTACCATCGTCGGCAATGAATTTCATTATATTACCTAAACAATTTATGACTTTATTAAAAAGATATGTTAAACAGATGTTTTCTAAACTTAAATATTTTTGTACATAGTATTCTACCTGGCTTTAAGTCCCTATGTACTAAATTATTATCACGTAAATGTTTCATTCCAGCAGTCAAATGTTCCAAGACTAATAAAAATTCAGTCTCTGCTAACCCATAAGTATTCTCTGGATCATCTAAAATATTGAACAGACTGCCTCCGGTACAAAGCTCCATAACAATTACTGTGCCACGACCATCTTGCTCCTCCTCGATTGCTAACAATTGAACAATATTTTCATGATTTACTTTTTTGAGAACCTCAAATTCTCGCATTTGTACATCGTGCGGTCGCATATGACTCAACTGATTAAACGTTTTAACTGCAACGGGTTCTCCATTGTTTTTATTCACTCCTTGGAAAACTGCACCAGTTGCACCTTTTCCAAGAACGCTAGTCGTACACCATACAAAATTCGTCGATCCACGTAAAAAGGACATTTTTAAACTTTTATCATACGAAAACTATGAATTTGAAAGTTTGACAAGCAGTTTTTTAACCTCCTTTATGGTTGACAAATTTGAAAACTACAACTTTCGTGCGTATTTGTATGTATACATCTTTAAATTTTCTATTTTTCTTCAAATTTTCAGAGTTGATCTTGATCATATGTGTGATGATAATTTATGCGGATCATTAACAGTGTTCTTTATATTACTAACGCATAACACACTCGCCAATATATGTCCAATATATATATCCAATCGACTTTCAAATAAACTACAATTTATGATTTTATGATCTACTGTGATCAGGAACGTATCAATATTTTACGAACCCCAGCCTTTTATAATTTTAAAAAATCGCAATATAATTTTATACATTCTAGTAGATAATAATATTTCTGACTAAAAACATATATAGAGTAGTAGTAAAGTGAAATTTATGTTGTCATAACAATCAAATTTTATAAGACCGCATAAAAATTGATAACACATAAAAAGTTAAATAGTTTCGAGTAGTATATCACGTGATGTGTATATATGGCTACTCGGGAAGTAAAGCTGTTTTTAAAAATCTCCGTCTATTTTGTTTTCTTTCAAACTGAACTATATATTTTTTTACACGGTATATATTACATTATCAATCACGGTACGTGCTTTACTTTCTATCAAAAAAAAATATTAATTTAAAACAGTTTAATTTTAATTTTAGGTTCGTATAAATTTGAAAAACGAGGGAAACATAAAATGTTTTAATACATCGTTTCTATTTTCCTTTATATATATCTTTAAATTTATATAGTTTAAATTTTGTAAACTTAGAGTTAAGATATTTTCTCAACTGAATATTTACGTTCTGAGCTTTTTTCAATTACGAGATGCACTCATTAAAAAAATGTAGTAGACAAAATGCTGATTGGTACAATATTATTAATGTTGAACTAACAATGTTATACTTTCTGATATATTATTAACCTAAATTCGTACATTTAAATATATCAAATAAAACGTGATTTTCGCGTGAAATAGAAATATTAGTATTTATTATGTTTATGTTATAAATATATCTTATTCTGTTCGTAATACGCACTGAATGAAGATAATTAAGAATGGAGGTTATCAAGATGTCAAAGATTATAATTGTTGACGAAATTCTTTAAAATGAACAGAATATATCTTGTCGTTGATGAAACTAGCTCGACAAAGAGATGTTAAAATATTGAAAGCGATTACGGAAAGTAATAATAGAGTGTCCAGAAGTCAAACATTATTTTTTATAACATTCCTTATATCTGTTAATAATTTTATGTCTCTTGTAATTTGTACATTGAAGTTTGATAAAGTGATAAGGGGAAGAAATTAAACGTGTATATGTTTTACTTAGTATTAGCGAAACGCTTAACCCTTCTCCTTAGATTCAAGGGGTTAATAAGAGGGACTGAACGAATATCGTGCTTTCAGTACGCATCTAGCGCAGAGCTACGTGTATTAGCACGTCGTTAAACGTTCTTCGTGTCTTTATCGCATAGGAGACGATACTTGCAATTTAATGGACGGATAAGCCGAGAGCAAATCTTGTACAAACCAAAACTCGTTAAGCATGTTCACTAATATAATTTGTCAAAAATAAATATCAGAAAACAGTGTGAAGCATAAGAAGCACATACGATGGATAAATTGGTGTTGGTAGTGCTGTTTGTTTATTCAGTGTCATTTTTACAGTACTGCGAAGCTACTTCGACTCCAAATCGGTAATACAGTCGATTAAATTCGATTAAATTCTACGAATTCAAATTTCAAATAAAACGCAGATTATCAATCAGAATAATCTCCTAATAATGAACTTCAATAAGTTTATAAGGAAAACGTGCTGTTTTGAACTGTTTTGTCGATTAATTGCGCAGTAATTTTCGTAAGGATTAGATAATTTATTATAGGGAATAGAAGAAAAGAAAAATTAGGGGAAAAATTCGTTTTAGGAGAAAAAATATAATACTATAGTACTGTTTAACAGAATATTGATTTGACAGAATGACAATTAATGTTCTTGTTTAGTTAGTGTTGTATCGATGATCTTTAACTTGTGTGAATTTGATTTACGTAATATATCGACGCGCGTCATTAAAGATAACGGATGTACTGCAAGGGTTGCAGACAATGAAGTTCGTAGTATTTCCCTGTGCATTTGTAAATCTTATTTTGTTTTTAGGGGATATGTGTTCACAGCGCCAAAAAGATTGTTGGCCGGTGAAACCGAAAGCGGATGTTTATCTTTACATAATTTGGAATTACCGGCTCATGTCGTTCTTGAACTAGAGTCCTCGGTAGACGATCAAATACTGGCCCGTACCAGCGCTGTCGTAAAAACAGGTAACTACGTTCATTTCAAGAAATATCTGCGAATCGAAGAAGATAATTTTGAAAAAATTCTACGTACTCGACTAAGTAAAAAAATTACTCGCCTGTGTTTCATTATTAATTTCTTTCTTGGTAAAGTGTAGCTGTAAGAATAGATTTATAATTCAATCTGGACCTTTGACACATTCTATATATACTCAAGATGTATTATCATCTCGATAAGATGCTTTTGTAACTGTATTAAGTATTTAAATACGTGTTATGCATGTATCAAATACACATCTATATTCTAATCTATATTACATATAGATGCTGCATCTCTTCGAAATTGATAAACTATTAATCTGTAAATACTCTTGTTTTTATTATTATTCATTTTAATTTTGAACAATGGAAACATTGTCCTTTATTTGAAATTACTGCTCGGGGGAAATTTATCATTCGCAAAGTTTAGTCTTTATTATATCATCCTTGTCGTGATAACGAGCATAAAGTCGCTATAAGCTGAAATGGGAAATAACTCTGCTAATTACGCAACAGTAATCAAACTCCTCTGTTTTTATTACTTAAGGAAAAAGAAGTAATTAGAAAAAAACATTTTCTAGTATGAGAAAGAATGTTTTGAATAATAATAATAATAATAATAATAATAATAATCGTAGAGTTAATTTAAAATTGCTTAGCTGCACAAGAAATGAAATACTGTGGAATAATCGAAGTTCCAACTTCTAAGAAATTTTTTCCCCTATTTTCTTTTGGCTTTTCATTTCTTTCCTTATGTCTGTCGGTGTTTTCGTCTCGTATCGAACTCTTCAAACAAATCGTAAATTGAAATTGTCGTCGCTTCCTGCGGGGGAACTGAATTGGTCGACTCCCTCTCTGGAGAGGAAATAAGCAATCGCTAGAATATGTACATGGGAAACCTATTTATATTGTTATACATGGGGTGAACAATGAATATTGGTCGTTTAACTTGATCAAAGTCCGACTTCGACGAACAAACATGCTGGATGGATAAAAAGATTGCATTATTAATAAATTAAATTTAATCGCCTCGATAATTGATGAAAATATTTTATATTTTTAAAACACATGTATATAATTGTAAGGACAGCGATTATCTAAATTGATATGTGATTAAACAGTTTGTTGTTAGTAGCTTTTTCTTGGTATAACAATTTAACAATTAAGCATTATAGAATGAAGATGTTGCAAGCTAACAGGAAAATAAACGTGTCGTAATATATCCAAGATTACGAATATTAGATTTATTTCGCAAATTTCAGAGTTTCTTTTCTTTAAATTACATATGTATTGTATTACATTAATAATTGTTTCCTCGTTTAGGTACAGAAACATGCCTACAACTGGCAGTACCTTCGCCTGCTTACAGCGGTGCAAGGCTTCGATTAAAAATCAAATTCGACAAATATCCCGATTATGCGGTATCATCGGAAGCAGCTGTGGAGATTGAGCTTGATTCTTTGCTCACCTTCGTAGAAACCGATAAGTCAACTTACAAGCCTGGTCAAGATGTCAAAATTAGGATTCTTACGCTTATGCATGATTTGAAACCATGGCAAAAATCGGTAAGAAATTAATTTTCTGTTAAACTTACGATGCTTGATATATGAAAATTTTGCCGATCACAGATTCCAGAGGTGTGGATCGAAAGTCCATCATTAGTAAGGGTGGCGCAATGGACGAACGTAAGCACGGAGAACGGGATGGCTCAGTTGACATTTCCTTTGTCTCCGGAACCAAGTTTGGTAAAATTGAAAAACCTTAGTGTTTTTATTTAGAGAATAATCTAAATACATTCGAGTACATCTGAATCAGAAAATAATCATACATCACAATCTGAATAGATGTAATTTATGTAACAGGGAACGTGGAGAATAAAAGTAATGAAGAAGAGACAATATCCCGAGTTGATTCACACTACTCAATTCGAAGTGGAAAAATATGTCCTACCAAAATTCCAAATAACTATTAATTCACCACAGTACATCCTTGCAGATGTGGAGAACGTGACTTGGAACATCTGCGTCAAGTATCATTATTATATTTTTAACAGAAAATCTGATATGTAAGTCATCATTAATATTAAAATTAAATAATCATACATTAACATTGTAGATATAGTTACGGTAAACCTGTGAAAGGTAATCTATTGCTAAAATTAACTCCGCAAACACCAAGTTGGAGAAGACTACCCAATCTTCCGGCAATACGTTATGAAACAGAAGTACGTACGTGCTTTCTGTCATATTCATTTTGATCATCGAAACAGAATCGGTATATTAAGCATGAAATAAATATTTTAGCTCGATAAACCAGATGGTTGTACAGAATTTGTTCTCTCTGGAACGGTTCTTGGATTGGCGCATTGGAAAACTGACCCGAACAATATTGTTCTTATAGCGGAATTCACAGAAGCCGGGACTGGTGTAGTAGAAACTACAATTAGTCGAACCGTGGTGATGCACGAAGCATTGAAACTAAAATATGAAAATTATACGCCTAGATACTTCAAGTTCGGTTTACCCTATCATGGAAAAGTGAATTTTTATCTCATATTATCAGATATAGTTTTGTACAGTTCAGTTTTATTTATTCAACTTGTATTGTTTTTGGTGCAATAGTTACGAGTTTTACGACACGACGATACACCTGCACCAAACGAAAAAATTCAAATTTGCCTAAAAGTACGTGGAAAAATCGAATGGGACAAAGATGTTGTGGAATGCCGTGATTTTATATCATCCACTGATGGCTTCGTCGACTTTGTCGTACCACCACAGCATAAAAATATCGTTTTGTTGAGTTTCGTTGCCACCGCTGTTGATTACCCAACAACGTATTACTCGCCAGATCAACGTTGGAAAGTAGGCAGCATTAATAATAATTTATTAACATTATTATCTATTGATTATCGTTAAGGATTTTTTAATCCTTTTCTATTTTTCTTAACTTTATAAATCTTTGTATTTTAATTTCTCATAAATTTAGTTCTCACGTAGAACTTCTTTTAGGTTTTGATGAATCAACCATCAGCATCTGTCACCGTGAATCCTTGGTATTCCCCGTCCGATAGTTACTTAACGGTAGCCCGAGGAAATCAACCGATTATGTGTGGCGAAAAATATTCTTTTAACGTTATGTACACGATATCTCCTAACATGAACGAATCCATTTCCTTCCATTATTCGATCAACTCGAAAGGAAGTATTTTAATATATGGGCACGTGAAACACAAGCCTAATCGGGACACAGTGTTGAATTATTCCGAATTTCATAATTTATTAGGTTCTATCACATCTTCTACCAACAAAACGGAAGAAAAAGCTATAGTACACAGGTACATTTTCCTAATATTTCTCTTTCCTCTGCCTCGTCTTTCAAATCAAGTTATTAATAATAGTTATTTCAACTTTTAGGTTCCCTCTGAGCGTTAAAGTTACGCCAAGCATGGCTCCAGTCTCGGAATTGTTACTTTATTATGTACGATCAGATGGTGAAATTGTTGCAACCACTTATACAATCGAAGTTGGCCACTGTTTTGAGAATAAAGTAAAAACTGCGTGGCACACTGATGTTCAAACACCAGGTTCGACCACCCAGTATCACGTTGAAGCTGCTCCTGGATCTCTTTGTGGAATTTCTGCTGTAGATAAATCGACCCTGTTCCTGGGCAAATCGAAATCTAATTTGATCAGTGCCACTCAAACCTTCGACCAGTTACGAAGGTTCCATCCAACTCCAGAGCCTCATTTCCCATCGGCGGTTCATTGTAAATGTACGTTTCTAAATTATCTGATAATTTGTTATAACGATGACAGTAATTTATTATATTGAATTTGAATCGTACAGCAATGGCATCGGAAGGAATGAACGAAGAGATTAATCATTTTCCACAGTTTGCCGAATTGCGACAGAAGAGAAACGCAAAGTATAACATAATATACAACAAAAGAGTTAACTACGTAGACGCAGTACAAGCTTTCGTCGTAAGAAATTTCTACGTACACGTAAAAACACATCTATTTAATCTTAGGTATTCTAAATGATACGATTTTCGTTTCCATAGGATTTTGGGGTGATTGTAATGAGTGATCTCGTATTACAAACACGACCATGCCCATGGATGTACATGGAACACACAGACTTTTATCGTGTATTTACACATAGTATCAAGTCGTTCAATTCAGGCAAGTACTTACGAATGTAATCTCTGTATCTTAAATTAACGTAATCTAACACAATTAAATATAAAAGTACTGAACTTTCAATTCCCAATAGCGGAGTTCGCAGTTGCTGCTGCAGCGATGGATCCAGGAGTAGGATACGTTGACCAAAACCCGTCTCAAACGGCCACACTTAGGTCATATTTTCCTGAAACATGGTTGTGGGAATTAGTGCCTACCGGGTATGATTGAACTATATTTTTAAAAGAATATATTTTAAAAGTTGCAACAATTTTTTTATATTTATTAATTTATCGTTATAATAAATTTACTGCAAAATTTTATTAACAAAACTATATGTTAAATTATCTTTCATAGAAAAGAAGGTAAAGTAACAATAGAACGCACGCTTCCGCACACTATCACCGATTGGGTTGGATATACAACGTGCATTTCGCCGGTCCACGGTCTTGGAATAGCACCACCGACTAGCATAACAGCATTCCAATTGTTTTTCCTCGATTATAGCTTACCGTACAGTATAAAACGTGGAGAAATAATCCGTTTCAAAGTGTCTCTCTTTAATTACATGCATCACAGTTTACCCGTAAGTACGTGAAGCCCATCCGTAATATAATATATTTAATAATTCGTTACGTTTACTGATGCAACAGGTAAAAATCAAAATGGAGGAAGTTGATGGAATTGATTTGCATTTGTCACACCCTACCGCCTCGTTTTGCGTAAAACCACGAGATAGCATTGTTCACCAATACATTCTGAAACCGCGAGTAATCGGAGAAGTTAACATAACAGTTGCTGCTTTTATAGACATTGATTACCCGGAACAATGCGGCCCAGAGACTGTGGGATTTACGCGGTAATCATGAATAAATAAATAGCTTGTATACTAAAAAAAAAAAAAAAAAAAAAAAATTAGAGAAATAAATGAATTAATAAGAAATAAGAAATAAATTTTAACGATAAAGTTTACTAATAAATAAATAACTGATCTATTCATGTTTAAGGGACGTAATCATGAAACCGATTCTAATTCTACCCGAAGGTTTCCCCGTGGAAGAAACTCAATCTACGTTGATTTGCCCGAAGGATTTCAGCGATGATTCCGCGTTTATGTGGGAATTAACATTGCCCGAAGACGCAATACCGGACAGCGGAAGAGCGTACTTAAATTTGATAGGAGACATCTTAGGTCCGGCTCTTGAGAATTTAGATAAACTTGTCCAGTTACCGAAAGGTTGTGGTGAACAAAATATGGTACGATTCGTCCCAAATATCCACGTGATTAAATACCTGGATGTGATCGGAATCGATAACTTTGAACTTCGAGCAAAAGCTATCAGAAACATGGAGAAAGGTATCGATAGAGAGAGTGGAATATTTAAAAATATATATAATTAATGTACTTAATTGAAATGTATTTTACGAAATCAAAAAAAGAATTGCATATTTTTTGAACTTAGGATATCAAAGAGAGATAACGTTCAAGCATCTGGATGGTTCTTATTCAGCGTTTCAACATAGCAAAAGCTCCATATGGCTAACTGCGTTCGTATTAAAATCATTCGCTCAGGCTGCTAGTTTGATTCATATTGACGAACAAGATCTTAAGCTATCTGTTAATTGGATTACGTCGCAACAGCTGGAGAATGGTTGTTTTCCAGTAATAGGTACTGTCTTCCACAAAGAAATGAAGGTTCGTCAGATTGGCAACGATATAAACTTCCAGCTGTTCGAATATGTTTTAATAACTTGCAATAAATTTTATTTTAGGGTGGTCTCCAAGAATATGATAGTTCATCGTCAGCAATAACAGCATATATCCTAATTTCTTTGCTTGAATCTAATGTTCCTTTGTCACCGTCTGTTGTTAACAATGCCCTTAATTGTTTGGAAAAGGGAATAACTAATGGCCACGATAATTTGTATACTATGGTTCTTACTACATATGCATTAGCATTGTTAGAACATCCAAAAGCTAATTCCAGCATGAGATCTCTGATGAATCTTGCTACACGCCACAAAGTACGAATGAATATATAATGAATTCGGGAATATATGAGAATGGACGGATGCAATTAATAGATTAAAAATTTCAGTTTAAATTCTTTTTGAGATTTACTTGAGAGTTATTCTTTAAAAATAATGACTAACGAATGAAATCTTTTTATATTATAGAATCTAGTTTGGTGGGAAGATAAAACTAAACTTTCAGTTGGTCTAAGCATCGAAATGACTGCGTATGTGATTCTTACTTTACTAAAACTAGGTGGTGAACATTTAATTGAAGCCTTGAAAGCTGTTCGCTGGATATCAAAGCAAAGAAACGCTGAGGGTGGATTTACGTCTACCCAGGATACGGTGCTTGGACTAGAAGCCCTTACAAAATACGCTATGACTATACACCATGGTAATACCGATTTATCTGTTCTCGTCACTGCTAAAGGAGTGGATTATGTCTACAAACTACATAACGAAAATCGTGTAATTCTTAAGCAAATTCGTTTAACTGTTCTACCAACTATAGTAGAAATCTTTGCTCAAGGCGAAGGGTGTGTTTTAATGCAGGTAAAATAAATGTCTTTATCTTTCTATTGAAGAATATACAGACTTTATTAACAATCTTATAAATAATTATTTACTTAATGCTTTAGCGTAAGATTAATAACAGTGTCTTTCTCGATGCAAATTATATATAGCATAGCCATTATGTTTCAATTTTAGAGTAATCTGAAATATAATGTCCCACACAGTACTGGTTCGGACGCTTTCGATCTTTCAGTCAGAGCTCGTTCTGTTACTTATGGAAGCGAATGCTCGTTACAAGAAATTACAGTCTGTAGTCGATATAAACTGGCAGATGAGGAAAGTAACATGGCTTTACTCGAAGTTGGAATGATAAGTGGCTATGTGCCTGATCCAACGAGTCTTCAGTCGTTATTGGATCCATCTTCAAGTAAAGTCATCTTGTTTTTATAAATGGAATAAGCAATAGTACACTGTTAGCTGAGATTTATTCGTAAATTGCAGAAGTGAAACGATTCGAGGAAGATCAAGATATTGTTACCATTTATTTCGATAAATTGACTGGGCAAAAAACTTGCATATCGTTTAAAATAATACAGGAATACTTTGTTGATCATCTTAAACCAGCAAACGTGAGACTTTACGATTACTATCAGCAGGAACTTACCGTGTTCACTGTAAGTCTGGACGATTTCTATTTAATCTTTCTCTCTCTCTTAAAAACAAAAAAAAAAAAACTTTAATGGTTAATAAAATGTTTTCAGAATTATACAATCGCTTCGATTTGTAGCAGCGCGAAACCGGTCGACGAGCAAACAACGCCAAATCAATTGGCTACTATGAAACAATACAAAGAATTTAATACAAGTCCGGCGAATTTCTCTTTCGTCGTCATCAATCAGGAGCTAGCAGTTCCAGATGGAATGGAGGGACCAGTCCCAGTTTATATGAAGCCAAACACCTATGATTACAAAACAGAAATGGCTATCACCACCAATGGATTGTCCGATTTAACGTCGACATTTTCACTGGAAAACCAAACTGTACCATCCATACAAGAGGAGGACGAAGACTCTACAGAGGTATTTAAATTAAACGGACATAACACAGAAATGAAAATATGAGAAAGATCCATCGAATTATCGAAAGGGTCAATTTCTTACAGATGGAACCAGATATTGAAATAAAAAATACTACAACAATCACCGAGACGAATATTCCATGTAAGTGAATGTATTTTACAATCTACAACAATTACACGTACAATTATTGTTTCTCACGTTACATGTTACTTTTAGCGCCAACGGGAGAAAACCAATCTTGTCCTGTATGCATGCAGTTACCGTCAAACATTAGCGACATTTATTGTTCGGCAAGTAGCGCGGTTAAAGTAGCAGTTAGACGACTTCGTAAAGTGAGATTGCTGCTGGACTTGCATGCATCCCGAGAAGTTCAACGTCTTCGTACAACGATCGAGTTTACTTTGAACCCGAATTGCTCCTGTTCACAATTAGATAATCGTATGTAACGTTCCATCATACAGGATATACATCGATAAGTTAAATCACCATATCTCAATACACATAATACGTACACTGTTTTACAACTGTATATATTCAGTATAAAAAAATATTTCCTTGCAGCTGGAAATTTAGCCTTAATCATAAACAAGGACAATGACTTTCTTGCATCCGGAGATCAAACGCAAATACTGAACGATTCGTTTCATATATATGGTTTACCAATGGTAAGCGGTGTACCATGTAAATTGGCGGAGGCACGCGCCTCCTGCTACAACGAAGAGAACATTCAATGCACGTATGAAGATCCCTTGGTTTATGGTTAAATTTAGCATTTTTTTTTTTTTTTATCTACTTTAATGTCACGCAAAATGTTTGAAACCAAATGTGTAAATTTCTATTATAAGGATATAATACTTATAAGGATATATATATATATTTTTTTTAACTAAACTAATTTCGCGCAGAGTATATACACGATTTCTTCTTTTATCATTTTCCTGTTTTTTTCTTTTTTTTTATCTACAAGTATGTCAGATACATAATATATAAGTAATCATAGAATAAGTTACGTATGCACTATGCCCACGTGAAAACATAAACGAATATCATCATCATCGCAATTAGTTATATATCAGGGAATGAAAGGTTCCTTTGTTTTTAAACAGATTGTGAATAAAGTTTTCAGTATATAGTAAATTGATTGATTTACTTCTTCATGATTTACTCCTTCGTAATATATATATATTGATATATATTGACAAGTGAACACGCAAAGAAGCGAATGTTGGTTTTTTGTTTGTTATACTTTTATTTATTATCTTTGCATCTGATTTGCTACTGAAATAATTATTACAAATTAACAATCACCTCTCAAACTTTTACTACATTAAATATTATTTTATTACAGCAGATTTTACGGTTATCTATTTTATTATTATGCTCTTTTTATTTATTACTATACTCTAAGTATTTGTCATTTAATGCTGAGAGAATTAAAGCATATTTTCTTTCTTTTTTTGCGCAACAACAAAGCATATTGACTACAAGTCATCGCTTTGTTTCTTTCTCCCTTCTTTATTTTTATTGTTATTTATATTATTTACGACATTCGCCTTCAGCATTAAATACCAAATCGCATTATCACTGGAAATGTATTAGCTATTTGTCCACATTTGTAAATGGTAAAATGTTTACTCAAAATAAATAAGACTATTTGCATTGTTCGCTAGAGAAACTATCTGTCGCGATGCTCCACTAAAATAAAATGCATATCTAACTTGTATCAGGAATGGAAAGGAACAATTTTTAAATGTCTATAAATTGGCAGTAGCGTTTTCAGTTCAATTGGCGTCGTCTCCAAATATTTGAATTATACTATTATAAAATGGATACTTTTTTTTTTATTTTTATAATTAGTACAACACCATTTATCCGCACCGAATAAACAATGTGGTACATGTAGTATATATTATAGAATCCTATAATGATCGTAAATGATCAACTTAAAGAAACAAGATCGTTAATGATACTAATACCAATGCAACTGCTGCTACACTGGGATCAAAATTTGGATCAATTTGTTAAATATGCGTGAAGATATTACATTTATCAAAAATGTATCAACGCACTAGATCTTTTCTCACCGATCTGATACACATATACGTTTATTTTTAATATTTACCGATATTGAAACAGCATTGCCCAGGCAGAACACAAGTACTGGGACGAAATTGCGAATATAGGGATCCAATATTTACGAGAATATTGGTCGAACGTATTGGCAGTAAATGCTCTCGAGTAAATAGTAAATGCACGTATCTCAACAGGTCTCTTAACACATCGTGGATATTGATATTATAAAACAGTATTGTACAATACTTATCCTAATGTCAAAAAACACGGTAATACAAAAATTCTGATATGTAGAATCAATATGCAAAAGACAGATGATATAATCGCGAAGTATTCTAAATACAAATTCATGGTATGGATACATTTCCAAACTAGGACTAAATTGATATTGTCAGTTTGCTAGAAATGTGACA